ATTTCAAAAATTCTAGGATGGAGACACACACTATACCAAAATTGTTTAGTGGCCAAACTATTCAAAAATTCTAGGATGGAGAGACGTCCTATAACAAGATCTAAAACTTTATAGTTGAATTTTTTTATTAAAATTATTTAGCGGCCAAACTATTTGATACAATATTACTAAATGTTAATATAAAAAATTGAGAAGTCTTTAGGAGTGCTCCGAGTTCTTGATTCTTGCATACTCCGGATTCTATGGGCGGGCTAAAATAAAGTGAACAATATGCCTCACTAAACACCTTAGTTTTGCCTCGACGAAATTTGTGTAACTTTTGGAGTCAGTGGTATCTTCCCTAAGCTGTAGTCTTTTCCAAAGATGACCCTCAGCTGTCATATCTACCGAGAATGTTGTAGGTAAGACTAAAACCTTGTATATATTTATGTTCTAAAATTTAGCCACTAACTTTATATTACTTTAATTAGTATAGGGAAACAGATGCGCACCGCTAGCACATCTACCACGTTCAACCAAGATAACATGGAGTAGAGGACCATGGACAGTTACCGCTAGAAGAGTTAGAGCAGCCCAAACATCATATGCATCGATATAGTAGAAGTAGTCATACCAGCAGCAGCGACACGTCCGCCCATGCACCTCACGTTCGTTGCCCGTTCAACACCTTAGCAGCACCTCCATGGTATCCACATGCGGGGATGAAACGCCGCGACGCCGGTGTGCTAGCACCGCGCGCACAGCGAGAGGAAGAGTGACAGTGGCGGCTTGGGCGCCTGCAGCCCTCGGGAGAAAGGCGGCGGCAACGGCAATGGCAACAGCAACGGCGATGGCTAGGTCGCGGGGAGTGTCAACCAACCCTAGTCCATTGCCTTAGACCTCCGTTAATATGGGCTTTTATCTTAAAGGCCCATTAGCGTTCTAATGGATCATGATTGTCTTTTAGGCATGTAATCAATATTTAGCTCTTGTGGCTCCAAACAGATGGTCTAAAATTTAGCCATTCTTATAAAAATATCATTAGTGTATTAACCCACATAAGTGAGCTAGAGTGGTATATAATTTGGCTCTTAACTTTAGCCAACTAATTTTTAGATCATGGGATCAAAATAGGGCCTAATAAAGACGGTCTATATTGAAAAAAACTATATATCGATTGATATACCTCGGCAAATCCTTCTCTGGAAACTGAGTTAATGGTATCTAGGAACTACTACTTTTTACGAATTTATTTTCTTCCCATGAATTTTGTTAGTTTGAGCCTGTGCAACATATGCTATTTTGCAACTCTGTCAATCCTCAAAGGTACACACCACCACACCATTATTAGATGGGACCACACAGCATGCAACAGCCACTTAATTATGTATAGCATTTAAAAAATTATCAGTAAACATCACCTTAATCATCTACTCGTGGCACCAAATTAACAATGATGCTGGCCTATCTGGAAATATGGATCCAGGCCCCTCCTTTTGATCATTTCAGCTCCATGCTCCCTCACGCCAGGGGCCATCTCCGCCATTCATACACCGAAAAGACTATCAATGCTGCATGAACATGACCAATCAATCAGCTCCGGAGCCACTCGATTTCGTTATTGAGCTGGAATCAGTAGAAAGATGGTGATATTTAATTCCCATACTATTAGGATTGAACATATTCCAAAAGCTCAACTGCTCAAGCCCTTGACAGAGCAGCAGCTTAATATTCATGTTCCACAATACATTTATATTGTTAACGTAAAAAAAAATACATTTATACTGTTATATGCTAGCATCTCATTGATGCGGGGAATCTCTTTTAGTGCGCGCGCATTATTTTGCGCGTTTAGCGCATTATTTTGTATTAAATGTCTTACGTTGCTAACTAATCTTTTAAGCCTAAATAATTCATAATTAGACAATTTTTGCCAAATACAAACGAAAGTGCTACAGTAACCAAAAGCCAAAAAATTTCGAAACTAATCACGCCCTTTGTCTTACGTTGCTAAATGTTGTTTATACTACTTCAATTCTCTGCTGCTAGTGCAACATTTCAATTTGAAACCTTGACTACATTCTATACAAAAAGGGTATTTTGAGTTGGAAAATTTTAATTGAAATAATTCGATATTCATTTTATATTCCTTAGAAACAAATCATAAAAACAAAATATGGAGATTTTTTTTTTTTGCCGTGCAGACTGGAGACATTTTTTCATACTGCCCGGTTCATGCAAGGTATCTTGGCTAATCTGACAAGGTCTGATAAAATATAGTTCCGCGTAAACTATTTACATGTCAGATGATATGGACATTCTATAGGATTTAGATTGATAATAAATCTATAGCTCTGCCAGGAGATTGTGATATCAGCCTGTTCGGTTGGCTGGTTCGTATTGTTGCTGGTTCGTGAAGAAGTATTGTTGTCTGGTTTGTGTGAGAGAAAAATATTGTTTCGATTAAAAATTTATGATCGTTTACGACAAGCACACAGCCAAATGAACAGGCTCGTTCCTCGATAAATGTATCGCCCAACCACCTTTGGGCTTTGGCTTTTTCCTGAATACTGAACACTATCAGATAGCAGGAATTAGATTGATCTGGAGGTACTGTTCTTACCTGCTGGCTCATTCCTTTTGCAGCCGTCCATGCAACAGTAGAAGTGGTTATGCAATGATAAATATAGGTCATTCATTAATCAGTACTGTGTGTTTCTGTATATACCTGAATTGACCTAGTACGGAAATGAATAATAAGTTTTAGACTTGGGGGTGTTTGTTTCTTTAGTCGCTCCTAAAATTTATGTCACATTAAATGTTTAGAGGCTAATAAGGAGTATTAAATATAAATTAATTACAAAACCAATTACATAGATGGAGACTAATTTCCGAGACGAATTTTTTAAGCCCAATTAAGCTATCATTAGCACACGTTTATTGTAGCACCACATTGTCAAATCATGGACTAATTAGGCTTAAAAGATTCGTCTCGCAAATTAGTCGCAAGTTGTGCAATTAGTTTCGTAATTAGTCTATATTTAATACTCAATGCATATGTCTAAACATTCGATGTGACAAAATTTTAGAAGAAGGGGAAGGAATCAAACAGGCCCTTGGTCTGTAGGAATTCTTCAGCGCTACGTGTATACCTATATATGCTAAGATGGAAAAGCAAAATTTATAGTGGATGCCGGAGGAACAAGATGGCAGTTATTGTGAGCCCAACACTATTTAGAGTGATGCAACTCCTCCTTTATTTGAGGGAGATGTAATTCTTTTTGTGATAAAAAAGAGAGAGCTATTGGACAGCTCCTAGAGAAGGTCTAAAATTGGTAGAGTTAGGGCAGGTTGGAGAAAGTGCATCTCCCGTTCTCCCTCTAAGGTAGCGTTTGATTCGGGGACATAATGGGATGGGATCGACCCAACCCATTTTCTAGGAATGGGATGGTTCTTGTTATCTGTTTGGTTGAGAGGATGGGATGATTTCTATTTTCTCTTTGGTAGAAGGGATGAATGAGATGGAGGATGGGAGAACTTGTAACACCGTCAGCCTCGGTGCAATGGCAACAGCCTTATTTTCTTCCCATTTCAGCGGTGGGCTCTACATGACAGCCTCAGTCTTATCTTCTTCCCCACCGCAACCGCACGGGATGCCTGCGCCCGCCCCAGGTGCCTCCGTCGCCCGCTCCAGGCGCCACCACGGGCGCGGCCACCGGTCACCCCAGGTGCCTCCGCCCCGCCCTAGGCGCCTTCGCCTCGGCGTCCCAGGTGCGCTGCTGGCCTCCCCAAGCACCTCTACCCTGCCGTCCCAGGTGCACCGCTGGCCACCCCAACTCCTCGACTGCCTGACCTAGGCCCGGCCGCTCCCCTGCGCCCTCACATAGCCACGAAGATGGATGCCACGCCGTGTAGTGGGGACGTCCCCGTCCCCTCAATTTCGTGGGACGGGGTTGCCCCGAATCTAAGCGGAATATACCGCTCAGGGATGAACCCGCCCCCAGCTGCCCCTCATCTAAACATTAGTTGATCCTAGGATCGCCCCAACCCATCCCACGTGATCCCCTCAACCAAACACTATCTAAACTTCCATTACTTCTTTGGTTCCATGCAACAGAGAAAAAGATGCTATTTCTGCCTATACATACAGGAGTTTAAATACACTGCATACATAGGACTGAGAAGACGTAGCCAGCAATATGGGCAACCGAGCTTAGTTTTTGATGGTATATAAAGCAGTCCTTAACCTAGAGATAAAGGGTGATGCAAAGTAACTAAATACTATGAATTGTGTTTTCTTGTATTTTTCGTTAGGTCGGATTATGGGCTGTTACTCGATCAATTCAATCGGACCTGACCAGCATATATTGTTCGCTTAAACTTATCAGTCATGGTACATTATTTTTTCTCATAATAAATTAACAATCAGGACTTTTCAGCCTGGTTTTTGAACGAAGCGAAGATTCTCAACCCGCAGCGACCACCTGGTTGGACGCTGGCTGTCCTCGACGAGTCAAATCGTGTGTTCATCATACGTACACATTCACAACTTATAAATCCCTGATTTCAGTCGGGAAGCACGAGAAACTAAACATCGGATGTTTAGATGCACCGACCCTACTCTCTACTCCCTGTGACGCACCCAAAAAAAAATCTCTGGCTAAAGAAGTAAAGATCCCCCACAGCCACCTCTCGAAAACTTATATAAGAGCACCACAGAGCTCAGAGGGGAGCGAAGTGGGCGCCTAGCTTCCTCCTACCAGTTTTTTTTTTTCTTTGCGCAAAGCTTGCACTTGTTGAGAGGGAAAAAGAAAGAGAGAATCCAGAGCTAAAGGCGCTTCTTTCATTTAGCTCGCCCTCTCATTCCCTCTCTCTTGCTCTCTCTCTCTCCAACCCATCCTCTCTCTCTCTTTCTCTCTCCACACACATAAAAACCAACGAAGCGGGTGAGGGTGATCATCAGGCAGAGAGGCAGGCAGGAAATAAATTTGAAGAAAGCCAGACCTGTGCTCTGATCGGTCATGGGCGCCATGATGGCCTCCATAACCAGCGAGCTCCTCTTCTTCCTTCCCTTCATCCTGCTGGCCCTCCTGGCCCTGTACACCACCACCGTCGCCAAATGCGACAGCACCCACCAGTGGCGCCGGCCGAAGAAGAAGCGGCCGAACCTGCCCCCGGGCGCCCTCGGATGGCCTTTCGTCGGCGAGACTTTCGGCTACCTCCGCGCCCACCCGGCCACCTCCGTGGGCCGCTTCATGGAGCAGCATGTAGCACGGTCCGTCGCCGCCGTCTCTAGCTCGATCGGTGCAGACGACATGCACGATGCAGCCAGTAAGCAGCACGTATCACGCATCTTGCTAACGCGGCGACGGCGCCAACGCGTGTCCTGTACGTGCATGCAGGTACGGCAAGATATACCGGTCGAGCCTGTTCGGGGAGCGGACGGTGGTGTCGGCGGACGCGGGGCTCAACCGCTACATCCTGCAGAACGAGGGGCGTCTGTTCGAGTGCAGCTACCCGCGCAGCATCGGCGGCATCCTGGGCAAGTGGTCCATGCTGGTGCTGGTGGGCGACGCGCACCGCGAGATGCGCGCCATCTCGCTCAACTTCCTCAGCTCCGTCCGCCTCCGCGCCGTGCTGCTCCCGGAGGTGGAGCGCCACACCCTGCTGGTGCTCCGCTCATGGCCGCCCTCCGACGGCACCTTCTCCGCGCAGCACCAAGCCAAGAAGGTAGGACTACTCATCTTTCTGACTGACGCTTTAATTATTTGCTTGTCTCCACGCGTATGTACGTGCCACATCAGATCAGTAGCCTGTTGCAATTGCAAAGGATCGCCGCTAACAACTGCCGGATGACGCTCGAGTGCAGTTCACGTTTAATCTGATGGCGAAGAACATAATGAGCATGGACCCCGGCGAGGAGGAGACGGAGCGGCTGCGGCTGGAGTACATCACCTTCATGAAGGGCGTCGTGTCAGCGCCGCTCAACTTCCCGGGCACGGCCTACTGGAAGGCGCTCAAGGTAGGTCGTCGCCTTCCTCCTATAGTCTCTCGCTAGTCTCTCCCTAGCTGCTGCTAGCCCCCACGACCACGACCCCCCGTGCGCGCGCGTATGGATCGACTTGATTGCTTGCTTGGACTCTGCACTCTGCAGTCAGCAGTCGTCTGCGCGCGGCACACGGATGTTTGTTGCTTCCAAAAATAGGCGGCAACTAACGTTTCATCAGACGATGCTACACGCAACAAAACCGCTACGGCCCATCTATCTATCTATCTGAATATATTATGATGCACACGAGCGGAGAGCTACAGGAACTAGTAGGGAGATATATATTGCTATATGTCTCTCTCTCCTGGCCTACTAGCCTGTCAACGTTTTGTTTGGTACTCTCTCGTCAGAAAACAAAAATACGAAAGCTAGTGCAAAGAGAGGGATAGGTTAAAGTTTTGGGCGCGTTTAGATCCAAAAAAAAGAGGGATAGGTTGTTAAAGTTTCGTCTTTTGTCCCAACTGTGCAATTGGTTTTTTGTTTGTAATACAGTAAGAGGGCCTAGCTTAGCTAGGGCATGGTCCATGCATCAACTATACAGGGGCCTTAGCTTAGCTAGGGGCATGGTCCATGCATCAATATATAGGCCTTTGTTGAGATCCGGGTGTAAAGTTTTGAGGTATCACATCGGATATTACATGAGGTGTCGTATGTGGTGTTCGGATACTAATAAAAAACAAATTACAGAATCCGCCAGTAAGCCGCGAGACGGATTTATTAAGCCTAATTAATCCGTCATTAGCACATGTGTTACTGTGGTACTTTTGTCGGGTTCATAAACCGGGGCCTCCCAATGGATCCGCTTCCCTGTAAAAACTCGGTCCAGCAGGACGGCGTAGCAACAATGCACGCTTCCTGGACCGGCCCAGATACATAATGATAGGCCAGGGCAACGGCCCGATCCCCGATCGGAAGGCCTGGCTAAGGTAGGGACACAGTCCGACTCGACCTCCTTTTTCGACCGGAGATACGCCGAACCTATACTCGTGATTCTTCCCCGATCAACACGGTCGGAGTCGACTGGGAACGACCGACCAGGGACACCCGCTCGGTAAGGACCCAAGGATCAGGCGGAGCAGATAAGGTAAGACGCTCAAATCAACCACAATTCCGAGGACCGTACCCTGCACACCTGTAGGATAGTGCCACCAGACCATGCCAGACGGGTACTATACAACCTTTCAGGCCTATCAGAACCAAAACAGTGTTATGGGCTCCGACATTTGCCTTACAGTATTCTAGGCGCCGATATTTACCATACCAGGCAAACACGGTAAAACCTGCCTGCCAAGGCGCGTCTGGGCATGAACAATATTATGGGCGCCGACAATCGTCTCGTACCCGATGGCGTGAGCAACAAGAATAGGTAGCACACGTACACACTCTCTCTCTCTCTAACTTGTAAGGCCATCCCCTTCACCTATAAAAGGGGATGCGCTCTCTCCCAACAGGGACGGTCGTTCAAACTCTCTCTGGCTGGCTCTATACAATCTAAGCATTCGAACAGCTCCACAGCTCTATAACTCTAAAGCTACACAGAGCATATGCTCAATACTTAGCGCACGTTAGAGCTCTCGTCACTCTCGGCCCTTCGGTTAAGAGCCCGACCGGACCTTTAACACCCCCTTCTTATTCCCATTCATTTGTAATCCCACAGCAAACTTTGAGCACCTAGGCTCAGCAAAATAAAGTCACTGACCGACCGAAACTGGACGTAGGGCACGTTGCCTGAACCAATATAAATCATATGTCATTGAGTGCTAGGCCACATCCGATCACAACGCACGGCAAAACTATAAATATTTACTTGTTGGTCACTTTTCGCACCGACAATTGGTGCCGTCCGTGGGGAAGACGTCATGCGTTCACGCTTTTGATCATCAGATGACCCATGTTTCCACCATCTTCGACATGGCGGGCTCAAGCGATACAATTCGCTTCGGCTCGCTGGAGTTTCCTACGCTCTCACCTGTTGGGATGTGGGTTTCTCCCGTCTTGAGCCGCTCCAGACCTTCCTCTTTAAAAGTCTAGACTTCATCGCCGACCAGCTCGGCGTACTCCGCCCCGTGAGGAGGCACCTGTCCCGGCACTCACTAGAGGAGGAGCGCCCTCCGCTGGCCCCGGGCCACTCGACGACCTCAACATCGAGACACCTGCGCTTCGCTTCGAGCCCATGCTGGGCTCAAACTCCACGGTGAGTAACATGCATATTGTTCTTTATTCACTATTTAACATCTTTCGCCGACTCTCTAGAGGGGCCCCGTTGTCCTCACCACGACTGTCGTACAACTGGTTCCCCTACGGCTTCGCGTCCCCTACGAACGCGTACGCACGGGGGCTCCGAAGGATGCTGACGCTGACCCTCTCACATCCAAATTCATGGGGATGGCGAGCTACGCTCCTGCCTCATTTCATGACCTCATGGATGACGAGGTCGACAGCGACAACTCCAACATCGGTGATGTCGTGGCACCTAGCCACCCTCTATCCCAGGAGTGCGCTATGGCGGACGCTCTGGGACAGCCACCAGTGGTAGCGGAGTCTCGACAGACTCACACCCCTACGGACCCTCATGCGGAGGCCCTCGTGCATGCGCAGAAGCACGGCGAGGAGTTATGACATAGGTGGTAGAGCCAGCCGCCACCTGCACTGGCGTGCTCGGCGCAGCACGCTGCATCACGCGCGCATAACCCAACGAGCGGCGAGCGGGGTCACGCCCGTCAGGTCCAGCGCAACATCCTGGATGGAGGGAATGACCCCCCCTCAGTTCGCTTGAGCTAGCCATAACATCGCTGCTGCGACAATGCTTCTGCGCGGCCTCCCCGAGCCAGCCGACCTCTAGGAGCAAGCAATCCACCGGAACCTCCGGGTGCTGGTAGAGACCGCCGCCGTTCAACAGGCGGAGAGCTCCGCGTCGTGACATTGGCTCACGACCTCTTGCCCCACTGGGGCACAGGGGCCACATCAGTCGAATCGCTCCATCCACTCGCCGCTACAGTTGCCAGGAGTGGGGCAGGATGCCGTGGCTGCACCGTAGCCCGACCCGGCTCCCGCTCCACACCGACCACCTGTGCTCGAACGGCTCGGGCCAAACCATGATGCTCGCAGCATCATCAACAATCGGCGCTAAGTCCGGCGCGATGATGACGTCCATCGAGTGGCGACGAGAGCAGCGATACAGGCCCTGGCCTGACCATCGAGGAGTGCGGGGACACGCACCTCAGGCATGGTCGCTGACTAGATGACCATAGTCCTAGCCCGAACGGCCTGGGACCACGGGCCTTTGGTCGTCACATCTAGAGAGCGCCGTTTCCACAACACTTCCACCACCCACCAACATCGCCAGATACACCGGGGAGACCAACCCCGGTATATGGCTCGAAGACTTCCGGCTCGTCTGCTGAGCCAGAGGAGTGGATGATGACCACTTCATCATCCAGTACCTCCCCATCTGCGTGAGGAAGCTTGTTCAAGCATGGCTTGAAATCCTCTCGCCCGACAGCATCCGCGATTGGGCAGATCTCAAGAGTATCTTCGTCGGAAATTTCTAGGGGACATATGTCCGTCCTGGGAATTCCTGGGACCTCAAGAGCTGCCAGTAGGAGCCCAACGAGTCCCTACGGGATTACATCCGTAGGTTCTCAAAGCGGTGTAACTCCCTTTCTGATGTCGTTGACGCGTCATCAGCGCGTTCCTCTCTGGGACGACCTGCAAGTCCTTGATCCACAAGCTCGGTTGTGTGAAGCCCCGTACCACCCGCGACCTGCTCGACATTGCCATGAACCACGCCTTTGGCGAGGAGGCGGTCGGGGCGGTCTTCAGCAGTGGTCGGAACAAGGGCAAGGCCAAGCATGAGGACCAAGACGAGGGCCCCTCCACACAAAGGAGCAAGAAGAACAAGAAGGATCGGCGTCGACCGGCCAACCCTGCATTGGTCGCCGCAGCCGATCGTGCGGGCAAGCATCCCCAGCAGGGCCAGCCCGACCACTTCGACAAGCTCATGGAGAGTCCATGTACCAACCATGCCTACCCCATCAAGCACATCTATAAGGACTGCGAGCTCCTCAAGCGCTTTTTGTGGCACGCCGACAAACCAAAGGAAGGGAAAAGGCAAGGAGGAGGTGGCCAGGAAAGGAGGCACGGCGGGCAGGGATGACGACGGCTTCCCCGACCCTAAGGAATGCCTCATGATCTTTGGGGGATCTGACGCCGTCCACTCCAAGCGCCAGCATAAGGTACGCTACAGAGAGGCATGTGCCACCGAGATGGCCATCCCCTCTTTCCTTAGCTGGTCGAACTCCCAAATCACTTTTGATCAGAGAGACCATCCTTCCCACGTCGCCCGACCGGGTCGCTACCCGCTCGTCGTCGACCCCATCATCCGCAAGAAGCGCCTCACCAAGGTACTGATGGATGGAGGTAGCGGCCTCAACATTCTCTACGTCGACACCCTCGACGCCATGCGCATCTCCTGGTTGAAGCTCTGCCCAGTGAGCTCACCCTTCCACGGCGTGATCCCGGGGACATAGGCGTACCCGCTCGGGCAGATCGACCTACCCGTCACATTTGGTGACCGAACCAACTTCCGCTCGGAGGTCCTCACCTTTGAGGTGGTGGACTTTCTAGGGTCCTACCATGCCATCTTGGGGCGGCCATGCTACGCTAAGTTCATGGTGATCCCTAACTACACATACCTCAAGTTGAAGATGCTAGGACCGAACGGCGTCATCACCGTGGGTAGCACCTTTTCACATGCCTACACATGCGACCGTGAGGATTACAAGCCCGCCACTGCCGTCATTAACTCCGCCAAGCTCCTGGACCTTGGGAATTCATTGACTCTGGCAGTCCCAGACTGCAATGAGCCAACCTCATTGAGTGCCTTCCACCCGACAGAGGAAACCAAGGCGGTGGGGATTGACCCCACCGACCCAACCAAGATGATGCGGATTGGGACCAAGCTCCCGGTCAAA